CTCTTTCCTGGCTCTTTTAGCTAGGACTTGGGGTGTGACCCAGTTATGGCCAATGAGACCTCAGGGGAAATTTGCTAGGAGCTTCTGGGGACTCTTTTTGCCTCCTGATCAAAGGATGAGATGAGGTGTAAGAAAAGGGTCCCCTGGCATCATTTCTCACCCTTTCTTCCTGCCTTGAACACAGACCTAATACCTGGAGCTGTAAGCAACCAAATGTGCTTTTAAATGTGAGGGTGACCAGGATAAACTGAAAATATTCAGGATAGCAGAATACAACAACAGGAAAAAACCTGGATAATTAATGACATTGTTATGCTGCCAGAACCCACCATGAGACCACCTATCCCTCTATTTCTTATTAACCAATAAATGTTCTTATGGTTTAAGCCACTGTTATTCTATTAACATTTACCTAAAAGCATTCCTGATAAATCTAGTTCCAAATCAACACTTCTATTCCCTCTACCTGGAATTTCAGGTTTAAAAATGCAGTAGGTTGTATTACAGTTCCATGAATTCATCTTAGATACAAAAATAAATCTGAGACTCTTTGCATAAATAAAAATGCTGACCCAACTTTTCAAATAATGCTTCATTAAAAAAAAACTCTCATGGGATTTCCCTGGTGGTCCAGTGGTGAAGACTCCATGCTTCCACTGCAGGGGGCACGGGTTCCATCCCTAGCTGGGAAACTAAGATCCCACATACTATATGTCTTGTGGCATGGCCAAAATAAATAAATAAAAATAAAAACCCCATGCTCGGGCCTCCCTGGTGGCGCAGTGGTTCAGAGTCCGCCTGCCGATGCAGGGGATACGGGTTCGTGCCCCGGTCCGGGAGGATCCCACGTGCCGCGGAGCGGCTGGGCCCGTGAGCCATGGGTGCTGAGCTTGCGCGTCCGGCAACGGGAGGGGCCACGACAGTGAGAGGCCCACATATCGCAAAAAAAAAAAAAAAACCCCATGCTCCAGTGATTCTAAAGCTGCCAAAAAAAAAAAATTCTCATACCGTTTTGTGTGCTTTAAAAAATATTCATAATTCTCTTGTTTCGTTTTTTCCAACCCTTTATATGAAATTACTTTTTCCATAATTCTCTGAAGAGGCTTTGCAACATTTTCAGTCCATTTTTTATGTAACAACTCTTTTCTTCTTTCCTTAAAAACATCCAGATGCTGAAAATACGTATTCAATCTCTACGGAAGTGATACAAACAAGGAAAACAAATTATTGAGAAGTTTTCCATTTATTTTCATTTGAATAAGCGGGGGGAGGTGGGGGGAAACACTTGTTCCCACTCCTAAGCTCTCAGCACATTCAGGCTGCAAAGTCATAGAATAAGATATTTGAAGAACAGTATAAATTTCAGAAAGAGAACCTGAGAACACAGAGCAGAAAGAACCCATGAACAGTTCTACACCACAACTGTGCCTCCAGATTAAACCACATCCAAACCACTCCTAACTCAGAAAACTCCTGCTTCGTTTTAAGAATTCAAAGCATTCCCTGGTCACCATTCCATGTCTCCAGCCTTCATCATCAGTAAAGACTGTGATAAAAGTGGTAGAAGAAAAAGAGCCTAGACTTGCATCAGCACCTCTCTCTCTTTTATAAAGGAGGGTAAACCCACCTACCTCTTTTGATGCTCAAATGAGAATATATGTAAACTTCCTTTATAAATTATAAGCCACAGTACAAAAGTTAACGTATTATACACCAAATTTCAATCCCTCTCATTGAGATGAAAACCTCCTTAAATTTATTAATTCCATAGGGACGATCAGTACTGATTGGTCATTATCCTTAAATACTAATTAATCTCTCATGGCTTTACATATTCCCACTGTGATGTGGGAACATATGAGAGAGAGGTAAATTTTAGGAAAGAATTTCTATTCAGTACCAGGACAAAGACGGGGAGCAGTTAGAACAATCTCTCAGATCCCTTAAGGATAGATCTGGGACTCCCAACCTCTTTGTGATTCTGCAAGGAGATGGCACAATCTCAGATCTATGTAGTATGAATGGGTGACTCAGAGGAGGTTCATTCTCCCAGAAAAATGAATCTCTCTGACATGGTAACATCCTCTTGGCCACACTGCTCTGTATCACTCTTGCTTACCTAGAACACACTTGGAATCCACTCTCTGTAGCCAACTCTGACCTTCGCAACATAATTTCCTCTAAATAATATCATGTATACAGCTTCATCAATGTCTTCTTTAGCCAATGCCTAAAATTACAGAATTAAATATTAGCATTTAGATCCTGAACAAACCAGTGACAAAATACAGTGTATTTTACCAATAGTTTGAGTGTAAATCTAACATTGTACCTCAAAACATATTTTGTAACTTTTTATTACAGAAATTTTCAAACACAATTCTCCACGAACCCATCACCCAGGTTCAACAATGATCAACTCAGAGTCCATCTTATTTCATCCAAATCCCTACTCACTCCCCTGCCCCCCACCCAGATTATTTTGAATCAAATCCCTTACATCACACCATCATTTTTAAAGTACCAAGAAAGCTTACTAATTAAAGGGATCCTCTGTAAAATGAAGCCTCTTTATAGGCAGTCTGTAGGTGTGTTTTTAAAGCCCTTGAAGTTTCCTGACTTCTGCTAGGTCTCTTTATAAGTTAAAACCTATTTATAAGTCAAAACTACAGAAGTTTGATTTAGTTCAACGGGTCCAGAGCCAATTAGTTGGGAACTCCTGGCTGAGGACCAAGATGGTCTTACATCTAGGGACTTGCTGTTTCCATTATGAGCTTGGGTAAAGCTGATGCACTTAAATCCTTACTTTAGGGCTTTTCATTTGGATCACTATGAACTGATCTTCCAGATTTTACTCTTACAGAACTAAGTAGGGACAAGTGGAAAGGCAATAAAAATTCAGCATCTGGAAGAGAAATTCTGTTACCTAAAAGAATTATCTAGTGTAAAGTGATACAGATTCTTAAAACTATGTTATTCAATCTCTGGCTCATCTTTCAGTTCTGCCACGAGTGCATCAAAATAAACTAAACCTCAAACTCAAATACCAAATCTTTGAATAAGAGAAATCTCAAAACGGAGAGTTGTATTTTTACCGGTATATTTAACAGCTTCACATGAAATCTAAAATGATATTCAGACAGCTAACTAGGGTCTTCTCCAAAATACAACGCTCTTGATAATATAAACAGACTCTTGCTTTAAAATAAAGCCTTCCTATACTTATTTTAAGATGGAAATTGAAAAATCATGTAAAACAATTAAATGTTTTCCCCTAATACAACACAAATTTAGAACAAATCAATCTATTTATCTGAAGAAGTAGAAACATACACCATCAAGCATCTTGAGAAATCACATTTTTCTAGCCATCCTATTAACATTATTAGCAAATGTTATACACTCTATTGGTTTTACGTCAGATTTTTGAACCACCTTTTCTTCGTTTAAGGAAATAGTTTTTGATAGCTCCTTCCTGGTGATTGTGCGCGCACACACACACACACACTCTCTCACCACTCTTACTGCCACCACAGTAAAATGGGGTAAAATAGAAGAAATATCCAAGAGCTTCTCTCTATAAAATAATGAAACTTCTTGAGAAAATCATTGCTTTACCAGACCCTGGAGTATCAAGAATTAACTGGCAAGCCCAGACCTGGCTTCCCCCGCCTCTCCCGCAGGGCAGCTCAGGGACTGCTGTTTACCCACAGCCCGCCCTGTTGCTGTCCTGATGCTGCGGTGACCACGGGAAACACTACAACCACCCTGGGCCAAATGCGATCCCTGGCCATTCCCATTCGGTGAATTCTTTGAGAGCCAAGTCTATGCCAGGCGCTGTTCCAGTTCTGGGGAAAACAACTGTGATTAATACACAAGAGATCCTAATTTCAAGGGATTTATGTCCCACCACCCAAAGGCGGCCCCCAAATGCCACATTATTTTACCTCCATCAAAGCAACTGACTCAGGTTCTGGCCACTTTAATTGTTCTGGCCCAAAATGTTTATCATAGTTGGACATTTTCATGGCAGACATAAATAATAGAATCCCTGAAGGAAGAAAGAGTAAATTGAGGAGATAGGTGATCACAGTTTAAAAATTGAGGTCTTTCGAATTCAGAAAGCAGTGTATCCTTGCTCTGCCACTTAGTAGACTCAGTAAGTAAAACAAAAAATAAATCCTCGGGGCCCCTAAACCTGTTTCAAAAAGGGGGTGATTAGGCTCCCCGACCCATGGCCTTAAGGATCCAATCAGGCAACGCCTCAGGGTCTGCCCAGGGCTGGGGCCCCCGGGCCACACCGCCGAGGGGCCGCTGCGGGTGGTCGCAGGCCTGGGCTGTCCTCTGCTCCCCACCTCGGGCTCTGCGCTCGGGGCTCTCCGGGGCCGGTGGCACGGCAACTCACTGTTCTGGGAGGGGAATGGGAGCTCCTCTAAAAACAAATTAAAGCACTACACTTAGACCCCAGCCCCTCTTCCCGCAAGCCCCCTACACCTCTCTCCACAGGGGGCGCAGAGAGGAAGGAGCCGCCCGCGCCCCGCGCCCCCGGCCCCCACTCCGCCTCGCTGCCACCCCGGCCCCTCCGCGCAACGTGCCTTCACCCGCCGGACCTTCAACCGTCCAATCCGACACCACCCCATGTTTCAGTTAAATATATACATATATATAAATTTAGGTCATGTAAATTAATCCTAAAGAGAACTTACCATTTATGTGTATGATCCAGGGCAACAAGTAGAAGCGAGGATTGATTTTTAGTGCCCCTTTTGCCTAAGGAAAACAAAAGTCTCTCCTCCTATGCTCCAGGTCCTAAGTCTTCTGTGACTCAACATGAGCCAGAGGGGTAATCAAAATGAATTTTTATAACTTTGCAGACTCAGAATCAGCACGTGGGTAATCAAAATGAATTTTTAAATTTTCTAAAGACTGTTGGAGAAACCTGGGGAGAATATGTGGGTGTGGATTTTAAGGGTGCCTGACAATTTAGGGAAAGAGCAAGTAAATTGAGATGGGTGCTAAGTAAGGTAGCTATTAGTATTTTTATTGTATCTTTCAGGCAACATTTCTTAACTCCTGGGGGAAATACATTTGCAATAACTGTCAATATACAGTATTGTCATTTCTTAATTATCATACAGACACTGGACTCAAAGATGAAGTTTATTGCAGATGCTCTAAGTTCTTAGACATAAAACAATTCTTGAGCACCTTTCTTGGTCCTCATCCTGAATGATTCCTGCTGGCAGATGGCTTCCTTTGAAGCAGCCTTCTTTTGTGTCCTCTTTTACCAGCCAAGGCTCAGGGTGTGTGCTCCTTGGTTGCTAAAATCTTTTGAAAATGACAGAAAGGTGTAATTGATACAGGGATAAGGGGCTTACAAGAGCAGAAAGAATTCCTCTGCTTTAGCTGAGCTGATCTCCCTGAAACCTAGCCCTCCTGTTGGCGCTAAGTGACTTGGAGGCAGGGTCCCCACCTAAATCTCCTGACTCAGCCTCTCCTCACTCTATCTGGATTCAGAAACAAGGAGCTTCCGGGACAGAGCCAACCTTATTATAGGTGGGGTAGAGCACTGATGTGTGATATGATTTGAGGGACCCCTATGGTCCTGCTTTCTGATGTCAATATGCCTGGAGTGCTAATTTACACTAGGATTATTGTGATTTATAAAATACTAGGTTCCCTTCTTCCCTTCTCTTTTCAAACCTCTGAATCTCTGTCCACCTTCACTATCAGCTGATAGATGACCTTCTGACTTATGTGAGAAAACAAATTAAACAGAAGTAAACAATCTTCCTTCACAAAATTCACCAAGCTGGTTTCATCTATGGCTATGCCTTCTGCCTTCCTTCCTCTTATAATGATGGATTGTCCTGACCTCAAGTCCTGGATCCTACCTCTCCACAGGTAAAGGAGGTGGGAGGGTGGAGGAATGGATGAGGGAGAGTATTTTAAGTAGAGAAGTCAGAGAAGGCTTCTCTGGAGAGATGATGTTTGTGCAGAAGTCTGAGTGACCTGAGAAAATGAGACATGGAGAGATCTGGGGAAGGAGTGTTCCAGGCAGATGGACTGGCGGAGGCAAAAGCCTGAGATGGGAGTGAGGTTGGCGTGTTCACACAACAAGAAAAGGAACATAGTGAGCATGGAAAGAAAGGCAGGTGGTACGGGTGGTGAGGAGGCAGGTGCCCAATCATATAGGAGTTTAGAGGCCATGATAAGGAGTTAGAATAAAATGCAAAGTGTGAGGGGAAGCCATTAGAAGGTTTTGAGTAGGGGAGAATTCTGAGCTAATTAACATTTTTAAAAGAATATGGTGCTGCATGGAGAACTGATTATACAGGGGCGAGAGCAGAAGTAGGAAAACGAGTTAGGAGGCTAATGCCAATAGGCCAGATAAGATCACAGAGGCTTGAACCAGTGGTAGTAGTGAAGAATTGAGAAGTGAACGAGCTAACAGAGCTCATTACCTATAAGACACGCGAACTGAGTGAAAGCAAGAAATAAAAAATGACTCCTAGACTTTTATCCTGGGGGTCCTTTTTGGATTATAGTCCTATTCACTGAACTAAGAGAAATTTGGCAGGAAGAGGGGCAGAAGTGCAAAATTAAGACTAATCCTTGGGACTTCCCTGGTGGTCCAGTGGTTAAGACTCCGTGCTTCCACTTCAGGGGCCACGGATTCGATCCCTGGTAGGGGAACTAAGATCCCACATGCCATGTGGTGTGGAACTAAGATCTCTCATGCTGTGTGGTGTGCCAAAAAAAAAAAAAAAAAAAAAGAATAATCCTGTTTGGGGCTGGTTATATCAAGAGAACCATAACCAGTACAGTACGTAAGAAGGATGTGTAGGGTACGATTACAAAGCAACTTATTGTATTTTTTTTCCTCACTGTCCATTTAAACCTGTTTGGTTGGGTAGTTCTCCAGCAACTTCCTGTTTTATTTTCCTCATTGCAATTACTAGCTCAAGTGATATTATATATTTACCTGTTTCTTGTCTGTCTCCCATCAAAATGTGAGCTCCTTGAGATCAGAGATTTATCTGTTTTGTTTACCTCTAGTCTCCAGCCTTTCAAACACTGCCTGGTTCAGAGAAGGTTCTTGTTAAAATGTGAGCAAGCAAGCACATGGGAGGATACTAAAACATGACAGTAAAAGGAGTGAAACCACAAAATTAAATCTTAATACATTTACTGTGAGTTAAAAAAAAGTAGCCCCCTTATCCTTTAGGAATGGGGAAACAGTCAGAAAAGAAGAATGATAGATTGACTGTAGACTCAGACAAACGAATCATTTCCCTATTGATTTCTAACTGGGAGATGGGGAGGATAGGCTGTGACTTCTCCTTCAAATCCACTCCTAACAGAAGCTACACTCCAGAGACTCGGGACACGGGGTGTAGAGAAGAGAACTGAAGGGAGGTGGCCCCTAGACCGGGAAGCAGTAGGCTAGCCTAGACAAGTCAAATGGCACCAAGTTTAACCAGAGTCACCTTAGGATGAGAAATCTGTGCTCTGTGAACAACTACATTTCTATACATTTTACATTTGGGGACTTTTATTTTACTTTTTAAACTTTACTACTTTAATTTAGTATATGGTCCTTTTGAAAATTTTTGCCTTTCTTGGCTAAATTAAGGGTAACAAAATTTGGGGCCTGGTTTGGGTGTGGTAACTGGTAAATGTGGTAGAGAGATGGTAGGGATGGTGGAGGGATGGAAGAAGGGCAAAATCAGGAGAGGGAGCTAGGGAAATCCTACAGTCCACCTTCTAGAGGATACCTCTATTGTGCAACTGCCAGGGGCAACTCTCTTCATTCCCTCTGAATCAAGGAAACCTGCCTCAGTTTCTTCTACTCACTCCCTTTTGGTGGGGGGAGAGGGTAGGGAGGGTGGCCCACTGCCTCCTGTCTTCTGGGAAGACTGCCATACAGAGAAGTTGTCCCCAGCAGCTCAGATTTTGTTATCAGCAATTGCTGCCTTGTGTATTACAAGATGGAACTATACCAGCTCTCACCGCATCCTGGTCCTCATCCCTGTCTGCCTCCTATAGCTCAAGAAAGTTCAAGGAAGAAAAGTGCCCTTTAGAGTTGGCCTCTTTGGGACTTGGATTCTATCCCTCCTGATAACATAGAGGTTCTTTCTCCAGAAAGGATGACCCTGTGTTTCCAGAGGGAGGCACCAGAAAGGAAAAAATTCTCCTATCAACTCAATTGTAGCATTTAATATTTTATTTAAATTTGAAGCTGTTGAGTTGTATATGAATTTACACATTTTAATGAAAAATAAACCCAAATAAATAGCATTACCTTGCTCTAGTAACATTTTCATCTGAAATTTCATTGCTGCTTAATCAAACAGCTGAGTGAGGGTTCTGTGGCATATATGACCCCCTCAAAGAGGTGTCCACTGTGGCTTCCCTGGGAAGGTCTAACTCTATCAAAGACAAACATGCCTCTTCCACCTCGATGCCGTAATTGGTATGCTTCCCTAATTCATGGAAGAAAACATAATCTTCCTCCTTCCTCCAGGGGGAGCTCATGAGTTTAAGCCTCTAGTTTAAGTCCCTAGGTACTCCAACAATGCAATATTTTCCTTCATATATCTGAGTCACACTCTGCTATAAAAGACATTAAAGGACAAAACCTCTCCTTTTATACAATATATAAAAATTAAATAGGATTAAGATGTTTATTATCCTAAAACCTGACTCATACAAACATGTATGAGACCATGGCAGTTACAGATTGCAGAGGAACTTATACGCTTTTGGAGCCTAACAGACAAGAGTGATGCTAAGGCATTCCATCTTTTAAGGATTTCAGCTACCAAGTGAATAGGGCTTAATTTCAATACTTCCTATTATCCCTCAACTTCAGCTCCCATTCAAAAAAGCAGTCAAGTGTTAAACCACACCCCAAAAACACTGAGCAGTCCACAATGGCCAGCACCATTTCTAACAGTTATCTGTTTCTACTTTAAATCACTAAAAAGACCCTCATGAGGCAACCAGTTGTTCTCTCTGCTGGACATGTCAGAATCAAGCATCTCTAAGAGCCCTCTGGCTTCTGCCACATTGTATTTATTCAACAAATTCTGAGTTTATTCAGAATGAGGAAAGGGAAACTACTGCAGCTTACTTTCGAGCTTTTTAGGAACAGAGAATTGTAAGCCAACCTCCTAAACATCATGTAAGCTCACTTATCTTCTGCCTTGCTAGGTTCTTTTTTTATTATCATCAAGTTTTACTAAGATACAATTTATGCACCATAAAATTCACCCATTTTAAATGCACAAATCAATGATTTTTAGTGTATCTCCAGAGTTGTGTAACCACCACCATGATCTAATTTTAGAACATTTCTATCAGTCCAAAACCTCATGCTCACTTACAGTCACTCCATTCCCAACTCCAGCCCCAGGCAACCAATAACCAACTTCCTGTCTCTATAGATTTTCTTTTGCTGAACATTACACTTAAATATAAATAGAATAAAAATTGTAATTGTATTCTTTCACTGAGTATAATACTTCTGAAGTTCACCTGTGTTGTATAGCATGTGTAAGTACCTCTTTTCCTTTTAATTTCCAAATAATATTCCATGTATGAATGCACCACATTTTGTTTATCCATTCACCACTTTATGAACATTTGGGTGGTTTCCACTTTTTGGCTATTATGAATAATGGTGCCATGTACACCCACTCATACACAAGCCTTTATGTGGCCATATATTTCCATTTCTCCTAGATAGAAACCTAGGAGTTAAATTGCTGGTCACTTGGTAATTTAATGTTTAACATTTTGAGAAACTGACAAACTGTTTTCCAAAGTTGCTGCACCATTTTACATTCCCTTCAACAATGTCTGAGGGGCATACACCCAGAGAAAACCATAATTCAAAAGGACATATGCACCCCAATGTTCACTGAAACACTATTTACAATAGCCAGGTCATGGAATCAACCTAACTGCCCACTGACAGATGAATAGATAAAGAAGATGTGGTACATATATACAATGGAATATTACTCAGCCATAAAAAGGAACGAAATTGGGTTATTTGTAGAGACGTGGATGGACCTAGAGTCTGTCATACAGAGTGAAGTCAGAAAGAGAAAAACAAATATCAAATATTAACACATATATGTGGAATCTAGAAAAATGGTACAGATGAACCTGTTTGCAAGGCAGAAATTGAGACACAGATGTAGAGAACAAATGTATGGACACCAAGGGGGGCAAGTGTGTGTGTGTGGGGGGGGGGATGAATTGGGAGATTGGGATTGACATATACACACTAATATGTATAAAATAGATAACTAATAAGAACCTGCTGTATAAAACAATAAAATAAAATTCAAAAAGAGAAGTAAAAAACAAACAAGAAAACAATGTCTGATGGATCTCACTACTTTTAATCAGATACTTAACCAGTTATATAACTATGTAGAGAAATCTCTTACTTTTAATTCCATTAACTAGTAAATTGAGATGATTCGCCATGTTACACATACAGTAGTATGTACCACTTTTCTGCTTATAACCTCTCTTCACTCTGGGGACGATACTGTAACAGCTACTACCCACCAGAACTAGTCCAAAATTCCATGTTTACTGCTCCAATTCAATTAAAAACCTCCTAACCTTTAACGTTAATATGAGTTGTTAACTTTTTTCTATGTCTATGCTTGTTATTTCTGAATGTGTCAGCTGTTTGTTCTTTAAAACCAGAAAAAGCTGAGCAAAGTCGCCACCTTTCCCAGTGGTGGGAAATACCTGATGTCCAGCCACAAGAGTCTGGTGTATTCCTTGGCACCGACTCCAGCAACTTAAAATGATGGCAGGGGATGAAAACACAGCCAAGCATGTTAAATTAAAGAAGAACAAAGCTATGGAATAATAGGCTTACTTGTAAACAACTGCTTTTTCTTCTTCCTGGGATTCCAGAAGATGAGGAGTTTTTGCAGAGGGTTTCAAGTCAAAACTACTTTCGTTAAAATTCACTTTTACTTTTAACCTTTAATAAGATAACAGGTGTGAGAGGATGTCCTGAAAACAATACTAGCTTGCATTTATACAGAAATCATTGTTATACATTGACTGCTACGTATATTGTCCAAAATATCATTACTTCAAACTGGTGTGCATTCTTGGGTGTTTCAGAATTGCTGAAACTATGATAGAGACTGGTTTACTATTTACTGAGACCCTAGAATCAGCTAGGCAAAGTTTAAAGTATTACCTATATCCCATGGCTTATACTCTAAATGTAAAAAGAAGCTCCAGAGATTGTCATTTATAAGCATAAACGTAAAATGCTTTTCCTAAGAAAGAACCCAAACACCCCATTTCCCAGTCTCCTCTACCATACGGTGGCAGGCAGGTGCCTTAGATCCCTCTAGTCTTGCCCCAATCAAGAGGTGGTTGGGGGACTTCCCTGGTAGTCCAGTGGTAAAAAATCCACCTTACAACTCAGGGGACGCGAGTTCTATCCCCAGTCAGGGAACTAAGATCCCACATGCCACTGGGCAACTAAGCCCACACGCTACAACTACTAAGCTTGCACACCTCAACTAGAGCCCACGTGCTGCAAACTACAGAGCCCACGTGCTCTGGAACACACATGCCACAACTACAGAGCCCACACACCCTGGAGCCAGCGCGCCACAACTAGAGAAGAGAAAATCCACAGGCCACAGCTAGAGAGAAGCCCACGCACCACAACGAAGAGCTTGTGCACCGCAAGGAAAGATCCTGCGTGCCGCAACTAAGACCCGACGCAGCCAAAAAGAAATTAAATAAATAAATAATACATAAATCTTAAAAAAAGAGTTGGTTGGAAGGGTGATACTGGCCCAGCGAGGAGCATCCATTTTGCTAGCACAGATTACAGCAGAGCTGGTGGGGTTCTAAGCCAACCACTGGAGCAGCAGCTTCCTGATTCAGCAGTTTCCCAATCATAGCAGAAACAATACATCCCTTGGCCAGCCAATTCTACACTGTGATTTTGGGAGTTATTTCTGAAATTCAGCCCTGTTTCTTAAGACCTCCCAACGATTTCATGAGCGGTGTTAAGTCCTCAATAAATGAATCCTTTTCTGGGGTGGCTTCAGTTGTCTGAAACCAAGAGCCATTATTGTAACTAACATACCCAGTACACCTAGCATGCAAATAGCCACACAAAGAATTAATGGAAAGGATCAGTCTGATCCTGATTTAATCAGAATGAATCTTCCTAGAGAATGTGGATTTTGAAATGTTTTGAGTAAAAGAAATCGGTATGGCAAACATTTAGATTAGGGTATAAAGCACTACTAACAAGAGGAAAAAAGGGTTTCCTGTGTTAATATATCTGAGAAGGGCTAACGCAGTGGCCCATTTGTCTGCAGGAACATTCTTAGGCAAAGCTATCCTGGGGCAGAACCTTGAGATGAGAGTAAATACTAAGGGTACCAAACGATAATGAAAAGGTTGGATGAGAAGAGTATTATCGGATTAGACCTTCTCAACTACCTCTCCTTTTGCTCAGAGCAAACTAAAAGTAGGGGCAGGAATGTCCTTAGTCAAGGAATCCCATGGCTTCCTCTCAGTTCTCTGTATTTGGCATAGTGCCTGATCCTTCTTGTCACCCTTTCCTCTCCTGATATCTGTGGCAAATCACAGACTGCTTCTTCTGTCTCCTTTTCTTCTTCCCACCTCCTAAATTTTATAGCACAACCTTTCATCTCAGTATTTTTCTTTTTCCCAGTATTCTCTCCTCAGCCTATCTAATCCATTCTTATGCTTTTACTCTCATTTCCAAAGTGAAAAACTCTTTTAGTTCTCCAACCTCAAATCCCCTTCCTCCCTTGAGCTGTTGTCTCACTTTTCCAACCTGTAATACATCTTTACTTGAAAGGACTACCAGTATATAAAACTCAGTATGAACAAAACTGAACTCGTCAATTGCATTTCTGAATCTGCTCCTCCTATGTTCCATCTTCTGCTGATAGTACCTCCAATCTTCCAGTGGCCTAGATTTATATAGCAGGGTCTTTGGCCTCCCCCTCTCCCTCTCATTACTTCATTAGTCCATGAAACAAGCACTTTATGCCACTCAATTACTATCCTCAAGGATTTACAGTACATGTAAAGATATATATATATATGTATATGTATATATATGAACAAAAAATATACTATATATAATAATGGCTGACTAGGAGCACTGAGGCAGTGATCTTCAAGCAGTTTTCTTTATATACTCCTTAAAAGAGTTTTGAAAAACCACATAACCCCTTGAACATTTTAAAGGTGACACCTACAATTTTTCATTGCAAGTTTAAATAAGTTTGTATCTTGTTAATAGATTTTTTTAAATATCAAATATTAAGATAAAATGAGTACTGGCCTTACAAGCAATGAAAATTTTAGGATACTATGTGATAAAATAGATTTTAACCACCATATTAAATAAAGCACACCAAATCTGAAAGCAATCACAAAAAACTGTTATCAGAGAATTATAGCTATTATATTTTGAAATTCTGACAGTAATAGAAAACATTCCAACTATATTTAAAAGAAGCGTCGGGACTTCCCTGGTGGCACAGTGGTTAAGAATCTGCCTGACGATGCAGGGGACATGGGTTCGAGCCCTGGTCTGGGAAGATCCCACACGCTGCAGAGCAACTAAGCCCGTGCGTCACAACTACTGAGCAACTAGAGAAAGCCTGCACGCAGCAATGAAGACCCAACGCAGCCAAAAGTAAATAAATAAATATATATATTAAAAATTAAATAAAAGAAGCATCACTAAATTATATAGCTTTAGCTACTCCAAATTCAAAGCAACCCAACACAGACCAAGTACCCTGATTCTGTAGCATGCCTTTAAATCAATCAATTAATCAGTTAATTAAAGTAAAATAAAATATATATGACAGGGAAATACAGAAAGACCTGTGGGTTAAGTTTTCTTGCTTCATCATTAAAGAAGTCTCTCAAAAGCCAGTATTTTTATTTGTCCCTTTATTTGGTACCTTAAAATTTTTTATAACCAGGTGGAAAGATATGCCTCTCTTTTAAAAAGTGGGATAAGAAGTCATATGAATGCAGGCTTGTTCTCAGGCAGATCAAATTTTGGAAAGAGAACATATAGACTTCAGAATCTGGAAGTTGAGACCCTTAAAACTATCCATGCCTATGTACACCTTGGTAAGTCTTTACAAGCCATTACTGTATATTTTGAAATTCACAATTTGAAATTCACTGCTTTGAGGGAATCCATTTACTTCAAACAACTAGACCCTGGATAGAATGTACCCTTTGACGTGTCACTAGTCTTACAAGAGAAGGAGGGGGTCTTTAAGAAAAACACACACACACAAATGTAGTAGACGCTAGAGGTGTGGGAACTTAGGGTCATAATGGTGGGCAGCAAGGGCAGGTGGAATAACAGATAATAATCCCTGAGGGCAGATGCCAATGACAGAGTTAAGAGAATACTGAGCCCTGTCTATGCCAGCTATAAGGTGCAGATACTACACTTGAGACTGCCACACTGAGCCTAGACATTTGAAGGGAGCTAGCTAGGCCCAGGTTGATGGCATCCCAGCTACTGGCAGAGGCAGAAACAGAAGCAAATCACCTGTGTAGATAGAAAAGTTTCCCCAATTTAGGCCAATAGTACACCCAAAGATAAACTGAACTCACAAATAAAATTCACTAAGCATATGAGAAAGCAAACCATTATAAATGAGAATCAGCAGAGAAAAAAGATTAGCATCCCCCAAAAATACAGAATTTGGAATTATCAAATATAAATGTAGAATGGCAATATATAAAATGTTTAAAGAAATAAATAATCCAATCACCAAGACTAGAAAACAAGAAGAGCCTATCAGGAATGAACAAGCATATGGGGTGGGTATGGGGAGAAAATTTCAGAAATTAAAATTTTAATATTCAACACAGTGAAAAAAGAATAGTAAACTGGAAAATATATCCAAAGAAATTACCAAAGGCGATGGTAAATATGAAAGAGGTATTAAAAGTATTAATATATATTTACATATGATACATACAAAGACTAATATTTAGTACAAGGGCTCAGATAAGGCAGTCTTCCCCAAACATACTAGCCTCCACGAGAGTAGAGCAATGTGATACACAGAGAAAAATCCAGAAAATCATCCAAAGAAAACATTTTCCTTACCATATTAGTCATCTCCAGAACCTTCCTGAGGATGAAATACTACAATTAGAACCTACCATATGCCCATTATTAGCTCACTATAAAATCAATATTCTCAATACCATCACCTTCACATACAACCTGAGTTAAATCTGTTATGAACAGATTCCTGGTTTGGGTGGACCCTACCTAATTACTAGAGTTAGGCTTATGATTCTCAAAGACAATGAAAAAAAGTAGAAAGCCCATTCTTTCAGAATTCTGTCTTAAGGTTTATTTCTGTTTTACATAACATTTACAGTGCCATCTGTAGCCAATTTTTTAAAAATAAAATTATTAGAGTTCTGCTTCCATTTAAGGATGAATGAACAGTGGTTCACAAAATGTAACAGATGTACCACACTAATGCAAGATGTTAATAGAGGAAACTAAAGTGGGGAATGGGGAGGACGGAATATACAGAAATTCTCTTTCTGCTTAAATTTTTGATAAACTTAAAACTGCTCTTAAAAATAAAGCCTAATAATTAAAAACAAAAGATATCCACTAAAATTTTAATGAATGCTTAAAGGCCAAGTGTGGGCTAGCATGTCATTTTGGAATAGCTGGGGAGACCTCATACAAGAAGTGTTTACACTCATGAGCAAGCTCTTTTCCATGGGCCTGCACCAGGTGCTAACAAGAAAGACTGGGCACAGAGCAGAAAACCAGAGAAAACCCCCATTAGTGGCAAAGATATGCAGGAAGAGATTGACAGAGCTAGGTAAACAAGTGCCCTTCCCATTTTCCTGGATCCTTCCCCACTACAAAGCAAAGCATTAAGCTGCTGGGGTAAGAGAAGCAAACTCTTTTTCCCCCAGGGTGATAAGCAAAGATACAGTGATTTTGGGAGAGGAGTAAAAGCAAAATCTACCTACCTCTGGAGGAGGGATGAGAAATCCTCTTATATCCAGGACAGACTTAAGGCTCTATTGTTAATAAGATAGGGATAGGAGTAAAAACCCTCTGACCCAGGAGGAGGCGCAAGAAATTGCCTGTGCCCAGAATCCTATACTTATACCCAGCAGAGATCTGCTACTATTGGAAGAGGGGCAGGAAACTACCATCCAAGAACAACCACAGACATAAGATAGTGTTTGGGTGCTACAGGGAGAAGAGAAAGGAACTCTAAGAAAGCCCTACTTCTGAGGCCCAAGTATATAGGGCTTGCCTAAAACTGCGGCTAGGATAAAGAAAACAGAGAACATTCCTTTACCTCCCTCTTTGAGCCTACCAACAAGCAACAGCAGAATACTTCTGGCGGGGGCTTCCCTGGTGGTGCAGTGGTTAAGAATCCACCTGCCAATGCAGGGGATGCAAGTTCGAGCCCTGGTCTGGGAAGATCCCACATGCCGCAGAGCAACTAAGCCCGTGCGCCACAACCACTGAGCCTGCACTCTAGAGCCCATGCTCCGCAACAAGAGACGCCACCGCAACGAGAAGCCCATGCATTGCAACGACGAGTAGCCCCCACTTGCTGCAACTAGAGAAGGCCTGCGTGCAGCAACGAAGACCCAACACAGCCAAAAATAAATTAATTAATTAAAATAAATTAAAAGGGCTTCCCTGGTGGTGCAGTGGTTGAGAGTCCACCTGCTGATGCAGCGGACGCGGGTTCATGCCCCGGTCCGGGAAGATCCCACATGCCGCGGAGCGGCTGGGCCCGTGAGCCATGGCCGCTGAGCCTGAGTGTCCAGAGCCTGTGCTCCACAACGGGAGAGGCCACAACAGTGAGAGGCCCACGTACCTCAAAAAAAAAAAAAAAAAAAAACACGGGGGAGAGATAAATTGGGAGACTGGGATTGACATATACACACTACTATATATAAAATAGATAACTAATAAGAACCTACTGTAGCACAGGGAACTCTTCTCAATACTCTGTAATAACCTATATGGGTAAAGAATCTAAAAGAAGAGTGGATATATGTATAACTGATTCACTTTGCTATACAGCAGACTCTAACACAACATTTTAAATCAACTATACTCCAATAAATTTTTTTAAAAACCACACAGGGGGCCTCCCTGGTGGCGCAGTGGTTGACAGTCCGCCTGCCGATGCGGGGGATACGGGTTCGTGCCCCGGTCTGGGGGGATCCCGCGTGCCGCGTAGCGGCTGGGCCCGTGAGCCGCGTAGCGGCTGGGCCTGTGAGCCGTGGCCGCTGAGCTTGCGCGTCCGGCAACGGGAAAGGCCGCGACAGTGGGAGGCCCACGTATCGCAAAAAAAAAAAAAAAAAAAACCACACAGGAAGAATGGGGCATAAGAAATATCTGAAGTGATAACAGCCTAGAATTTCCCCCCAAATAATGAAAGACATCAAACCACAGATACAAGAATCTCAGTGAACCCTAAGTAGGATAAAACAAAAAGAAAGGGGAAAAAACACCTTCACACATCATAGACTAGCTAATGAAAACCAAAGACAAAGACAAAATCTTGAAAGTACCCAAGAAAAAAGAAACAGCACATACAGAGAAACAAAGACAAGAATTACAGTAGACTTCTCATTGAAAAATGAAATATTTTTTAAAAATCATAATTATGACAAAATACATATCACTGTCTCAAGAAACAGTTTTCAAATTTGAAGAGGTTTCATAATTTCTATCATACTAACCATTACCTGCTCCTTTTACAAAATTCACTCTCTATGTAGTTTGTAGGCAGTTTAAGCCACTCATTTGGAGTCATAAAGTGCCTTGAATTAGAAATTCCTGGAAATCTGGAATGCAGTTTGGCTTTCTCAACCTCTTTAAATTCTTTCATTGTAAATATTTTGCCTGTAGGAAGATGAGCAACCTAAATTAGCATCCTTACATGCAACTCCCATTGCTCTCGGGTTATGAAACCACTTAACAATTAGAAACTAAGTACCAGTCTCACACTGAAGAAGAATTCTTTTTCCATCGTCTTTGTCATATTGTGCCTTTTTCAAAGGGTCACGAAATGGTGGGATGGTAACCTACAAGAAAAACACTTCTTTGAGGACTGGGTTCCAGCTCTTTTTCAGTCTATTCTAAGCATCCATGTATGGCTCTTATGCCAGAATAATCAAGATTACAGCATCCACAAACTAACAGCAATCTAATTATTATATATATTTAACACATTACAAAGAGATGGCGGCACTCCAATACATCTCCTAGCAAGGCCCTTCAGCCAAAGAAGCATGGTTAGCTCTTGTTTTAATAGCCTTTTCAGATCACTGTGGATATTCTTTTTAGATATCAATACTATACCCAAACTCAACAAGTGGCAGCTTCTTAAAGGTCAGTTACAATGTAGAACCTGAAACCATATCAATGAATTATTCAAACTCTGCTATATTAAAATCCATTGGTCCATCTTGAACTCTGAATGAATCTTTTATCCATATCATGAATTGGTTGTTAGAGAAAATTAGATCACTGAGTTATGTGAGGTCTTCCAAATGTTAATACATTTCATTATACAATAATCACATTCATTAATATCACCAGTCTCATCAGTAAAGTCTTTGAGTACTGGAACACTGTCACACATGATGGTCAGTATGATATTTCAAAAATTCAAATTTTTGTTTGAAAGTTCAACTGGCAACAAATATTGTCAGTTGTTTTTCTTGAAGTGACAGACTCACTTCATTAATTTTCCAGAAAATGTCTACCAAACACCCAAGACTTAATAAACATAGTCTGTAAGTCACTCTTTCAAGTAAAAATGATGTTCCATGAAAAAAAAATCACCCAGTTCAGCTCACAATTCAAACAATCATACTGTATTTCAGTATGCAGAAATGCTCTTTGCATACCTCCCGTTTCATCACAGAATATTAAAAAGATGTGTAGAAAAGACCAAGACTTGGAGGGGAGGGATGAATTAGGAGTTTGGAATTAGCAGATACAAACTACTACATAGAGTAAAACAGATAAACAACAAGGTCCTATTGTATAGCACAGAGAATTATATTCAATATCTTATAATAAACTATAATGGAAAAGAATCTGAAAAACTAAAAAACCAAATCACCTTGCTGTACACTAGGAACATAACATTGTAAATCAACTATACTTCAATAAAAAAAGGGGGGAGTAAGACTTAATAAAATTAATAATTTTTTGTTTGATCAAGGACATTAAGTGAAATGGAATTTTTTTTTTTTTTTTTTTTTACTGTGAGCGCATGACAGTGAAGAATATGAGTACAGTACAATTTGGTAACACTGACTTAAGTAGTTCTAAGGTACCAGCAGTTTTACCCAACATTGCTTTTGTACCATCAGTGCAAATGTCAACACAATGAAAAAGGCAAATAAAATTTAGCACTATTATGAAAAGTTTTGGCCTAATGGACCCCCTAGAAGGGTTTTGGGGCTGTCAAAGGTCTATGTACCTCACTTTGAGAACTGCTGCTATAACCTCAAAGTGCTCAGCTTACCTTGAGAGGTCACCTATCAGCTTCATTTAGAGTGGCAACATGGTGAAAGAACAGAATGGAATTCTGGTATCCAAAAGATCTGGTTTCAGGCTTCCCTAGTGATGCAGTGGCTGAGAATCTGCCTGCCAATGCAGGGGACACAGGTTCAAGCCCTGGTTCGGGAAGATCCCACATGCCGCGGAGCAACTAAACCCATGTGCCACAACTACTGAGCCTGCGCTCTGGAGCCCACGAGCCACAACTACTGAAGCCCACATGCCTAGAGCCCGTGCTTCGCGACAAGAGAAGCCACTACAATGAGAAGCCCACGCACCACGACGAAGAGTAGCCCCCACCGCAACGAGAGAAAGCCCATATGCAGCAACGAAGACCCAACACAGCCAAAAGTTAAATATATTAAATAAATTTATTTTTAAAAAAAGATCTGATTTCAAATCCCAATTCTAACCCTTACCAGGTATGCTACTAGTTAGTATTTCTAAGGATCTAACTCTAAACTCTCAGTTTAACTCTGACCTATAAAAATAGGGACAATAGCACATACACACACCCTAATTTGGGGAAAAACTTAAAAGACCTGCTTTGCCCTGCAACTACCAGCAGTTTAAAATGTCTATGATTCAAGGTAGGTTTTTTGTTTTATTTTCTTTAATAATATCCACTATTAGCAAAAGTGTGGAATAAATAGATTCTCAGGAGGAGGTACAAATGTATATAACCATTCTGGAGGACAATTTCGTGATATGAATTAAAATCATGCATAATTTTTAACCCAGCAATTCTACTTCTAGCAACTTACCCAAAGGAAAAAATTAAGAAATAAATAGTTACAGGGATGTTCATCATAATGTCATTTAAAACAACAATAGGTCAAAAACAATCTAGAGGTTCAAAATAAGGAATATGTTTAAAAAAAAAAAAAGATGGTATAGCAAGATAGTATATGTGTTTAGAAACATACCCATACTCTATTTACAGCTGTGTAACCTTGGACAAGTAACTTAACCTACCCGTGCCTCACTTGCCTTATTTGTAAATTAGCAGTGAATGCTGAAATAAAGTGAAAAGAAATCTTATCATTTGGTTAATCCCTCAGTGCAAGTTAGCTATTAATAACAGAATACCATGCATTGATTACAATTGCATATTTACATTTATTGACAAAGAAAGAAAGCAAATCATAAACTACTGAGAAAAAAAAGATTTTAAAACCTAATGTATGGTATGATCCCATTCTTGTTAAACAAAAATGTGTACATATACCTACACATAGAAAGAAGTCTTTCCTTTTTTTAATTGAAGTATAGTTGGTTTATAATTAGAAAGAAGTCTTGAAGAATATACAGAAAAATGTTCATGAGTTCATTCTGGGTAATGAAATTGTGAGTGGTCTCTTTTTCTTTATTTTAAAATAGATTTTCTCATTTATATATCATAAAAATATATTACTTTTGTAACAAATTTAATAGTCTGAAATTTTTTAACATTATCTATCACCCAATTATTATACAATATTTTCAAATTTTACAGAGGTTTAATTTACTTTGGACTTTGGCTTTTTAGTTCCTTTCTAAGATATGGAGATGGGACATGATTCTTAAGATTTTACTGTGTTCGTTGGAAATCACTAAAGGACTACTTATATATTAGGACTGCTCAAAAAAACAAACCACATAATACCAAAGTTAAAATTAGAAATCTACCTTCAGAAAATTCGGGTCCTCTTTGTTCGTGTAAAAAGGATCATATTCTTTTGGATCATAATGCTCTATAAATGCATTTCCCTATAGGAAGGAAATAAAACCACACATAAGAACAAGCAGTCCATAATTAATTTTGAGCATAACAGGACTCAAGAGTCAAACACACAGTTCCACTCATATGCTCTGAAATGGCATCAATGACAAATGCAAAAGGGAACGGAAGACCAAATTGTAAATTAAATTTAATGTATCTAAGTAAGAAATATTATAGTGATAGAAGGAATCTACTTAAAATTTGTAAGATTTTAATAAAGGATGTTGGAATACTAAAAGATACAGGAATTTGTTTTTAGGTACTTAATATTCAAACATCTCAAATCTCTTAAAAATGCCAGGAGAACAGAAATATTTTATAGCTTTGTAAATAATCAAGTTCCAGAATAAAAAACAAAAAAATCAAAAAAACATGTATCTTGAACCTAGAGTCCAATTTTTTTTAATTGGTATATAAAATTAACAATTACATAGGAGAAAGAAAGAAAAATTATTCTAATGTACACATTTAAATCCAGACCTAACCCTCTCCCTCCATCCTTTCCACATGCCCTGGATTTAAGAATAGTATGTGCTATAACAGAGTACAGATTACACATATACAGAATAGGGAAGGGCAGGCTGTTTGAATGATTATAAATAAAGATAACTATAGTTTTTAAAGCAACTGAAAAAAGTAATAAAATGATCTCTTAGTACCTTTTTATTTACGTATTTTAAAAAACCATCTAATTCCTCTTGTCTCCTTTTTTTAATCTTCTTATGTGAAGGAACATTTTCTATAATTTTCTTCTGGAGAGGATCTGCCACATGATCAACCCATCTTTTATATAATATCTCTTTTCTTCTTGCATTTAAGAAGTCATGATGCTTTAAATACTTATCTAGTTGCTAGTAAACAGTGATAGGAAAAGACAAATATATTATCTTAAAGTTTTCTTGTTCCAAAATTTAAACTTAATTTATATTCATAAGAATAACCCACAAAATCATCCATTAATTAAATCATTTGGTTGGCTTCTGTGTGACACACACAATACTGGAAACAAAGAATACATGAATAAATTAGACAACACGCCTGCTCTCCCTGGAAGACAGACTACAAAACAAATCTACAAAACAATAGGATGGACCATGTAGCAAGAGATATATGGGGTTCAAACAGATACTAGTATACCAGTGTTCACTGCATCATTACTCACAATAGCCGAGGTGGAAACAACTCCAGTGTTCATCAACAGATGAAGGTATAAACAAAATGTGGTATATATGTATAATGGAATATTATACAATGATAAAAAGGAGTCAAGTTCTGACACATGCTACAACATGGATGAACCTTAAAAGCAATATGCTAAGTGAAATATGACAGACACAAAAGGATAAATATTGTAGGATTCCACTTATATGAAATGTCTAGAATAGGCAAATTCATAGAGACAGAAAATTAGATGTTACCAGAGGCTTGTGGAAGGAGAGCTGGGAAGTTACTACTTAAGAAGTACAAAGTTTTGGTTGGGGTGATGAAAAAGGTTTAGAAATACATAGTGGTTATGGTTGCTCAACACATAAATGTAATTAATGTCACTGAATTGTACACTCAAAAATGGTTAAAAAGCAAATTTTATGTTATATATATTTTACAATAGAAAAATTAAATTTTTTAAAAGATTTCCAAATTGGTAGACATTTGGGATGGGCCTTAAAGAACAGAGTTATCTAGGAAGAGAAGGAATGACACAGAATGAGGAAGGAGAATATTCTATGGAGGGAATTCCCTGGTGGTCCAGTCATTAGGACTCCACACCTTCACTGCCGAGGGGCTGAGTTCAATCCTGGTCAGGGAACTAAGATCCCACAAGCTGCAACGGGCAGCCAGAAAAAAAAAAAGAATATTCTATGGAGGAAAAAAAAAAAAAGACAGAACAGTAGCACAACCTGGTAAAAATGACAAGTAGCCTGCAAAGAAAATGCCTAAATTAGGCTATAAACTAAATCATTCTCACCAAAACTTCTCATATACCTTTCATCTAGCGAATGAAATCATGTGATTACTAGGATCAACAACATGAAATTTAAAATGAAAAAAATAAAATAATAAAAACCCTGTTATCTTCTCCAGGCGATATCCCTCCCTAACTTCAGGTCGTAGCACATTTCAACCATTCTCAATGAACAGTTCCTTTCCTTTTTAAACAACTCTAAAGAAAATTCTTAAAAACAAAAATAGGCTACCCACTCCAGTGAAAATAGGCTACCCACTCCAGTGTTTAGTACACTTCACACAAACATTCATCTTATCTTATAATTAAGCCCATCCTGCTACAGTTAAAGCCTTGTTCTTACTTATGTATACCTGAGTAATAATTGGTCAGTGTGTTCCAATAACAGCTCTTAAAGCTTTTAAGAATACATAGAGGGCTTCCCTGGTGGCACAATGGTTGAGAGTCCACCTGCTGATGCAGGGGACACGGGTTCGTGCCCCAGTCTGGGAAGATCCCACATGCCGTGAAGCAGCTGGGCCTGTGAGCCATGGCCGCTGAGCCTGTGCGTCTGGAGCCTGTGCTCCACAACGGGAAAGGCCACAACAGTGACAGGCCTGCGTACCGCAAAAAAAAAAAAAAGAATACATAGTGACTCCACAGAAGCCCCACTAACATGAAGGAACAAGTGAGTAGGAGGAACCTCTTATAAGGTATCTATAAAAGAGTCCTCACAAAGTACAGGAAGAGAGGAACTAAATTAAAGCAATCTCAGAGCTCTTTTAAGTTCAATCCTAAAGGCTAATGAGTGTTTTAATTGTTTTCTATATTTTCTAAATTTTTTTTTTTTTGTGGTACGTGGGCCTCTCACTGTTGTGGCCTCTCCCGTTGCAGAGCACAGGCTCCAAATGTGCAGGCCCAGGAGCCATGGCTCACGGGCCTAGCCACTCCGTGGCATGTGGGATCCTCCCGGACCAGGGCACGAAGCCGTGTCCCCTGCATCGGCAGGCAGACTCTCAACCACTGCACCACCAGGGAAGCCCCCTAAAATTTTTATAATGACAATGTACTACATCTGAAATGGAAAAACAAAATTTAATTTTTGAGACACATTCTGCAGCCAGTTCTTACCTTAATTATATAATTTTCTCTGTACAATATTGATTGAATAGCTGCATCAATATCTTCTTTAGCTAATGCCTAAAATGACAGAACGACATTTTGAAAATCAAATATTTGAAAATTAAATTATTAATACTACCTAGACTCATAATATTTTATGTGACATACATATCCCTGGAAAGTTCTCTATAAATCCAATTTTTCTACTTCAAATCATATCATCAGTACTTTTTAAAGAGGATTTGAATCTTTCTGCTCTCAGCTACATTTCATTCTAGGGAAAAAATAACTCAGATCACAGACATTTTGAGTCCCAATATGGTCAAATGACTTCGCCCAGACACACATGGTAGGTAAAACCCATCTTTTTTCACATCCTGTAAAGTGATACAATCAGGCCTCTATTTGAATTCATTTACTCATGAATGAATTCTATTTGAATTCATTAGTCATTATAGCTATCAAATATTAATACTTTTTATGAACAAGCCACATTTTCAATATTTTAAAGCAACACAATCTTCAGGAAATAGCTCGTAAAATCAAATTTTTCCATTTTCATAACAAATCTTCCACAATTAAATGTCAGAAAATGCAAGAGGTTGATTTCTACCATACATGTGAATGTAACTGACATCACTGACTTACACACTTAAAAATAGTTAAAAAGAGTAAATTTTATGATATAATTTTTCCACAATGGAAAAAATGATTAATAATAAAAGAGTCCCAAAGTGAACATTTGGGATGGGCCTTTGAAATCCTCTCATAATTACACAAAAATAAAATATTCTCAAATTAACTGTCATTGGAATTAGTTGTCTTCATTTCCACTACCCTTGTTTTCCAGAATAGCTGAGTAAAATCTCAAAATCTAAGAACTAACCTTCCCCATTAACACACAAGGAAATTAAGGCTCAAGGGAGTCAAGCAACAACCAGAAGCCTAGAAAATCCTGCACTGAGCCCAGAATTCAAACTCAAATGTATCTATCTCCAAATTCATTTTCTTTGTTCTTTCTGCCTCACAGAGTTGCTATTCCTAGCAAATCTACTGCTCTCAAAATCAAGATGAGTACTGAAATATTAAAACCACCACCTGAAGACACTGGAGACTGACCCAGAGCAGGAAGAAACTAAAGGGTAGTCAACACTTGGAAAAAGAGAACAGCACTGGAAAAGTTTCCAGTTCTTTACAGACTTTTGTCTAACAGCAGGCCTCAGTCATAGCTAAACAAGGGAGCTCAAACGCAGACAGAAATACACAGTTTTACAGATTCAATAATTAGACGACAGAGTTCAGGGCAACCATAGCAGCAGGAAAATGATGAGGAGAAATACCTGAAAGGAGAAAGCCATAGACAGAATGCCACAAATTCTGCAGACCAAATCTCTGGCAGACCGTTGAGCTACATAAGCACAAAGCAGACTCCATGGAGCCCAGCTAAGGCTAAAGAAGACTAAACAGTGATTTCACCTGCTGCCAACTGCAAGAGAGACAAAGTTCAGAGTTCGTGTTCAGCCAAGTTAACTGCCTGCTAAAACAAAAACTCAGTATTAATCAGAGGAACATAACAGAATCCAGACCCTTTACAATGTATCTCTCATAATTTCCAAAATCACTAGACAAACAGGAAAACGTGACCCATACACAAGAAAGACAATCAACTGGAGACCAACTCTGAGATGGCCCATATGTTGGAATTAGCAGACAAGGATTCTAGGTCAACTATTATAGCTATGTTTAAGAAGTTATAGGAAAATATGCTCATAATGAATGAATAGAAAACCTCAGCAGAAAAACAGAGACTGAAAAATAACCAAGTGGAAAATACAGTTCTTAAATTTAAAAAACAAACAAACTTAAATGGGCTTAACAGCAGATTGAAGATGACATAAAAAAGAGTCCGTGAACTTGAATTCAAATCATTAGAATTTATCCAATCTGGGAAATAGGAAGAAAAAAGATTGGAAAATGAATAGAGTTGTAGCAACTTATGAGACAATAGCAAAAGGTTCTACAAGTTGATAACTGGAGTCCCAGAAATGATAAATAAAAGAATGGAACAGGAGAAGAAAGAAAGTTAGAAAGGAACATAGAATAAGAGGGAACAGATTTATCCTCCTACCTTTAAAAAAAAAAAAAAGTTAAACAACAGTTTTCAAGACACTGGACATCAGGCTATGAAGGACAGTGGCCCCTGAGATACAGAACACAAGGTGAACCTTAAAATAGCTCATTAGAGCCTGGAGAGAATTTCCAGACTGTGGCACACAGAGGAGGAAATCAGGTGGAATCCACCTGTCTCCCTGAAATGAGCAGGGGAGCTGGGAGTCTGGGGAGGCCAGGGTAGCTACAGTTCATAGAGCACAGTACCAGAGGGAAGAAAGTCATACAGAGAAAGAGCTTTGGATATCTGCAGAGGATCAGATCTGTAGAGGGTCCCCCTTGCTTCTTCAGGTGAATGCTGAACACTGTATGCATGTGGGGAAACTACCCAAAGAAACACTGGGAAAAGAAGTACCTGAAAGGATTAGGGGAACAATCCCTAGAGGTCACACAACCCCAGGAGTTATTCCTCTTAACATCAGCCAGGGTGATAAACTTTATGGTGCACAAAACAGAGTTCTTAGAAGGGTTTTATAAAATAAGTACTAAAGCAAAATTGGCCATACACTAAATGATACTACAGTTCTGTCTAACAAAGCTTGGTGGCAAGACATGAAAAAAATTAGACTGTGTCCAAGTAACTTCACTGCATACCAGAACAAAGCTCAGCATATTTATTGGAAATCAAAGATATCCAGCACTCAACAAGGAAAAATTCACGTCTGGCATCTAATTAAAAAAATCACCAGACATACAGGTCATGGAAGCAACCTAAATGCCCATCAACAGACAAATGGATAAAAAAGTTGTGGTACATATATACAATGGAATATTACTCAGCCATAAAAAGGAACCAAATTGAGTCATTTGTTGAGACGTGGATGAACCTAGAGACTGTCATACAAAGTGAAGTAAGTCAGAAAGAGTAAAACAAATATCGTATATTAACGCATGTATGTGGAACTTAGAAAAATGGTACGATGAAGCAGTTTGCAGGGCAGAGATTGAGACACAGATGTAGAGAACAAACGTATGGACACCAAGGGGAAAACCATGGTGGGGTGGGGATGGTGGTGTGCTGAATTGGGTGATTGGGATTGACATGTATACACTGATGTGTATAAAAGTGATGACTAATAAGAACCGGCAATATAAAAAAACAAACAAAAGAAACAACTAATACTAAACTTTCTTTGGGTTCTTTGTATGGAAATATATTAATATAAATGTTTCAGACATTACATGAAATTTCTAAAAATCTTATATGTTCTGATATAATGTTATAAGTCATAATTCTAGTTATTACTTTAAAATGTATATCTCAGAAATTAAAAAAAAAAAATCACCAGGCATATAAAGAAGCAGGAAAATTTGACTAATGAAAAGAATCAATCAAAACTACCCCAGAGGAGACTTCCCTTGTGTTCCAGTGGCTAAGACTCCGTGCTCCCAATGCAGGGGGCCTAGGTTTGATCCTTGCTCAGGGAACTAGATCCCATGTGCCGCAACTAAGAGTTTGCAGGACGCAACTAAAGATCCCACATGCTGCAACTAAGGATCCCACACCCAGCAACGAAGACCTGGTGCAGCCAAATAAATAAATAAATATTTTTTTTAAAAAACTACCCCAGAAATGACACAGATGATATAATTATTAGACCAAGACATTAAAATAGTTCACAAGTGCAGGAAGCTAGACAAAACAGCAAACGTTTTGAGACATGGAAGATTTTTTAAAAGGCACCCTAAAAACTTAAGGGATAAAAACCACAATGTCTGAAATGAAAAACACAAAAGACAGGATTATCAGCAGACTGGATATTACAGAAGAAATGATTAGTAAACTTAAAATCATAATAGAAGCTGTCCAAAATGAAATGCAGGGAGGAAAAGTTTTAAAAAGTTTAACAGATAATCAGTGGGCTATGGGATAGCTTTAAGCAGGTGATTAAACATGTAATTTTGTTTCCCAAAAGGAGAAGGGGTTGGGTAGAAAAAATATTTTAAGAAAGGATGGCTGAAATTTTTCCAAATGTGTTGGGAACTATACGCTCACCGATACTAGAGGTTCAATGAACTCTAAGCAGTAGAGAAACTGGAACCTTCATACATTGCTGATGAGAATGTAAAATGGTACAGCCACTGTTGGAAACAGGAGGCAGCTCCTCAAAAAGTTAAACACAGAATTACCATATGACTTAGCAATTCCATTCCTAGGTTATATACCCAAGATAGCTGAAAACATATGTTCACACAAAAACTTGTATACAATGTTCACAGCAGCATTGTTCATAATACTCAAAAACCAGAAAAAATCCAAATGCCCATCCACTGATGAATGGATAAATAAAATGTGGTATATCCATATACTAGAGTATCATTTGGCCATAAAAAAGAATGAAGTGCTGATACATGCTACAACATGGATGAACCATGAAAACAGTATGCTAAGTGGAAGAAGTCAGACACAAAGGACCACATACTACATGATTCCATTTGTATAAAATGTCCAGAATAGACAAATCTAAGAGAAAGTAGATTAGCAGTTGCCAGAGAACAAGGGAGAAGGGAATGGACAATGACTGCTAAAGGGTATGAGTTTCCTTTTTGGGGTGATGAAAATGTTCTGGAATTAGAGAGGTGATGGTTATGCAACCTTGTGGATATACTAAAAACCACTGAATTGTACACTTTAAGGTAGTGAATTTTAAATTTAAAAATGCACAAAATATTTGAACACTTCATCAACGAATATATATAAATGGCAAGTAAAACATAAAAAGAGGCTCAACACCATTAGTTATTAGGGAAATGCAAATTAAAAACACAATGAGGGACTTCCCTGATGGTCCAGTGGTAAAGAATCCGCCTTACAATGCAGGGGACGCAGGTTCGATCCCTAGTCGGGGAACTGGGATCCCACATGCCATGGGGCAACTAAGCTCACGTGCCACAACTATTGAGCTTGC